GACATATTCTTTTAAGGACAAAATCATGACGGACTATAACTCCAAAGTTGAGAATACCTTAGACATGAGAATAAATCCTAATAATGTTATCATAACAACATGAGGTCAGAACACTTTCATTCCTAGATGGAACATTGACACCCACCATGGTGAGTTTCACATCACTTAGGTGTCGAAACCAATGACAATTTATATACGTACTCCTCTCTTAACCCATTATGAAACCTTTTTAAGGACAAAACTTTAACAGACTAAAATTTCAAAGCGGACAATACCTCATATATGAAAATTGATCTTAACGATGTTATCGTAACAGACATAAGACTAAGACACTCGTATTCTTATACATAATGATATATATAATATACAATATATAATATATTTTTTATTTTCATTCATTATAGTCTAAATCAAAATTCACAAGTAAAAGAAAAACAATAACAACCATGTTTCTTTCACAAATAATTCTTAACATAGTCATAACTCTAAAGTCATCTAAATAAAGAAATTTTGGATTATCTGAAAGTAGAATATGAGGTACTCACAACGAGGGATAAATGTGTCTTAGGAACGAAAATACCAAAAATATCTTAAAATATTGGGTAATCCAACTGTGATTTGAAGTCCACGTTGAGTAAGAATGAAAAAGTTGAGTAACATATTAGATTTTTTGTTGAGTGAGAGTGATGTCAATTCTTATATGAGTTGAATTCACGTATCATTAGTGTTGTTTCTCCCTAGTGAATCCCTTATCGAAAGATTCACAAGTGGTATCAGAGCCGAAGGTTGATCAATAATTTAAAAGTGATCTTTATATCGAAAGTCTTTCTGGTAATGAATTAGGTAAGTGTGTCCTGTTATGATGAACGACGATACATAGAAATATTACTAGTGAGTTTGAGAGAATGTATTAATGTGGAGGAACTCGCACGAGAGTGAAATTGTTGGGTAATCAAAGTGTAATTCTAAGTTTTACATTGAATAAAAATTAGGAAGTTGAATAACATATAAGAAAGAAATACCCATAACCCAATGTCTTAAGATTTTGGGTTAAGAATGATATAAATCCCTTACATGAATTTAATTCATGTCTCATTGGTGTCTCTCAATTGAATCCCCTTAAAAGATCCCGATAAAGGTCAAAGATAAGAGTCTCAAGCTAAAAGAATTAAGAACAAAAAAGAAAACAATAATAAAAAACAAAAATATCAAATTAAAATAAATAAATATACAAATAAAAATATTATAAATTATTTATTTATTTAAATTATATATTTATTATTTTGATCTAAATAAATAAGATTAAATATTTAATATTTTTATTATTATTATTATTATTATTATATATATATAACAATACACGTACATATAAATCCTATAATTCCCACCAAGGACATACGAGAAGAATATTTTGACAATCGAATTAAATTTTTCAATTGAAGATAGATGAACCTAGAAATAATACAAATTCACACAACACACAGGTTCCAATACAAAGTTCCACCGTAAGGTCGTGCAGGATTGTTTTAATCCTATGAAGAGTAGCGTACAATATTTGCATAATTCTACTCACTCGTAGGCCCCTAGAACACCACCAAATTCTAATTTAGCACGCTATTTTAACATCATTAACAAACCAAAGGTGAAAATGAAGAAGAAAATTTAGGTATGTAGTAAGAAGAAAGAAGATTGTGTAAAAGGTGAATATGAAATAATAACGCAAACACAAACCCCAAACAGACAGAATGCCAAGGGGAACTAAATAAAACAAAACCATGTTCAATTTCATGCTCTAATTTTATGCTAATTTTCTTGTTTTGTTTTAGTTAAAAGGCCTATAATTGGCCCATTAGACCGGGTCTAAATCTTATTTGCCCAATCTTATGTTATTGTGTCTTTACTATCCTGTCTTGTTGAGTTTATACATTTTTTATATTTATTTATTTATATAATAATAACAATAATTAAAATAATTTAATTAAAATAATGCTAATTATTATATTTTGAAACAAATTTTTTAAAATAAATTTAAAATTTAAAGATGATAGTAGGTTGATAATAGCAAGAATATATTTATTCAACTAACTTTATAATGTGTCGGCGATTTTTTTAGTTTTGATTATTATAACTTGATAATTAAAAAAAATTTGACTTATTATGAATATTAAAATTTACTTTTGTTTAAATAAAAATGATAATATATAAAATACGCGTATTGGACTTTTTCTTCTGTTACATTGAAAAATGGAACTAAAAGAAATAAAATTGTAAATGAGATTTTTATCAATTTTTTTCTTCAACTAATTTATATTAAATAAAATTTAAATATTATATATATAATATTTGTATTTAATATATTTATAAAAATATATTAAACATATAATTATATAAATATATTTTTATGATATAATTATATTATATATTATATTTATTTACTAAAAATCTTTTTTATTAAATAAATACTTAAATATTATATTATCATATATATATATATATATATATTTATTTATAAAAGTATATATAAATATATTAAACATATAATTATACAATATATTTTTATTATATATAAAAGTATATATTTATATTTATTATATATTATATCTAATAAAGTGATAATGTATATATCAAAATATAAATATGTATTTATCATATTTATAAAAATATAATAAAAATATTTATATATAATTTTATATTAAAAATATTTTATATTATATTAATAAAAATGTATTTATCATATTTCTATAATTATTTTATATTAAAAATATATTTAAATATATATATATATATATATATATAATTATAAAAGTATATATAAATATATTAAACATATAATTATACAATATAATTTTATTATATATAAAAGTATATATTTATATTTATTATATATTATATTTAATAAAGTTATAATGTATATAACAAAATATAAATATGTATTTATTATATTTATATATATATATATATATTAAAATATAATAAAAAAAATATAATTTTATATTATATTAATAAAAATGTATTTATCATATTTCTATAATTATTTTATATTAAAAATATATTTAAATAATATATATAATTTATTAATATAAAAAATGTTATCTAGAAAGATATAAATATATATATATATATATATATTTATTAAATTATATTATATTTATAAAAATATAAATAAATATTTAAATATTATATATATATATTAAATATATTTGCATTTACTATATTTATAAAAATATTTTAATAATATAATTATATAAATATAATTTTATGTTATATAAAAAATTATATTTATATTTATTTCATATATATAAAATTAAAATTTTAATATATATATATATATATATATATTTAATTTATATTTAATAAATATTATTATATTTTACAAATTCTATTAATTTTCAAAGGTTAGAATTCGCCTTCCAGTAAAAATGTGTTATTCAGGTCAATAATAATTACAATATGTTATTGATGCATATTTAGTAAATATTATTATATAAATATTAATGTTATGTTTGGTTAAATTGTAAGATTGAAAAAACATAACCAAGCTGTATTTTATTTTATACTTAATATTAGACTATTATATGATAAATTGAAAAAAATTGTATTATTATCGAAAAAAATTAAATGAAAAAAAACACTCAACTTTATTCTGAAAATATATAAAATATTATCTGTAAATCGAAAATAGTCACAAGTAACCTGGGGACCCAAGAGTCAATTGGACGTATACTGGGTATGATTCATGAACACTCTTACCCATCACATCACATCCCAATCCACTAACAAAAAAGAGGTAATGCCCCAAAAGCTTCGCATCCAAAATAACAAGCTTTCAAGAATGAACGAGTTTCATATTTTTTTTCCCCACATTAGCTTTGAGATATATGGTCGTGTGATAGTGCAGTTCCAATCATTGTGTGAGAATATTATCTTTCTAACCAAAAAAGTTACGAGTTCGATAATATTTGAGTTAATCATATGTACATGGAAGGATGTGGCATATTTAGTGATATATCATGGGTTGATTATTGATGAAGTAAATTGTACGAAGAAGATGTAATTTTCTTATTTTGAGGCTTAAAAATACATGATTGTGGTAAATTTGGTCATTAACGTGTATTGATGTGTGAAGTAGTTATTGTTGTTTGAAGTTGGAGTTGACCTGGTCAGAGCAAAACTTAGGTAACGAGTCATATTCACTTGAGCCAAAGTTGCGTAATTTTACTTGCTTAAGAAATGGGTATAGAACAATTTGATTAATGGTTGAAAGTGGGAAAGAAATCCTTGACCAGGAAAGACGGAAATCTAAAAATGTGGATTAATTAAAAAAAGAAGAAGGATTGAATAAGAAATGTGTTGGGAAAGTAAATAAAATAGTGTGGGTGGAATGGGGATGGACGAGTGGGAGAGTGGAGTGGAGCATTTGGTAGTTGACACTTGACAGAATTATTATGATGCCAAAAATGTGGAAGTGGAATTCCTAACGCAAACAAACGGGGATGTCTGTCTTGACGTGCCACGTCACGTTCCAGGAACTGATTCACCCTCTTTTTTGTCTCTCCCATTCTTTCCATTTTTATCACACATTTCAATTTCACGACCCAAAGGAAAAACCAGTAATTTGAGAAAGCGATTCGCCACTGGGCCCCACCCAATAGTTCTATCTGGGCCTTTCCTCCCTCCCATTGGCCCTTCCCTCCCTGTATCCCTGTGCCACTTTAGCATTTTCTACAGTGCGCACCGTTTCTTATCCTTCACCATCTTATTCCTATTCCTATTCCTATTCCTATTCCTCTGCCACTGAACAACTTAACTCAACTCATCACCCACAATCCCCAAACTTATCATAATTTAACATACAAGCAAACAAAATAAAACAACCCTTACTCTTCGATCTCACATAACGCGATTCTCCTGCTTTATGGATTTGCCTCGTCCAGAGGGTTTCTGATTCTCAAGTTGCAAAACGCGTCGCGGATCTGTAATCGGAATAGAGGATCGTTTCCATGGCTGGGAGTAACGAGCTCAACCCCAACGATTCTAAGGTACACGCGCTCGTTATATATTTTTTTATTGAATATTTTTCTCACACAACTTCCAATTATACAACTTCCAATTCTTCAACCGTACGATGATTGGCCATGGCCATCTTTCCACTTTCGGTTCTGATTGATTCTCTATTTTTCTCTTGTTGAGTTTTTGTTTTTGTGTGTACTATGTAGTATGGCTTTTATTTTCTATATTCTGTTTGGTGTAGAACTCTGATAAAATGATAATCACTCTCGGATTGCTGATTCTTCGTCGTCGTTTTGAGTTTGGACGTGTTTTGGTTTCGTGGAAGAGTAGGTTGGGCTTTGTTCTGTTGGTGTAATAGTTTCTGGTTTTGGTTGGATCAGTCCTGGTTCTACCTAACACGGTTTCACTGTTTAGGGTTTGTCATTCAATGTGCTGATTTGGGAAGTTTGATTCATCACTTTTCCCAAAATTATGGGGTTTATTCTCTGTTTTTAATTATCCTTTGTTTGATTTAATTTTCTCCTTATTATCCTCTATTTTTTTTAATTTAAAATGAAAATAAAATTGGTGTAGATGGTGGTTCCCCTGAATATGTGGGTACTGATCTCAAATTTCAAGTTGGCATACAATCTTCTTCGTCGTCCGGATGGTACTTTCAACCGGGACTTAGCAGAGTTCCTTGATCGGAAAGTTCCAGCAAATGCGAACCCCGTGGATGGAGTGTTTTCTTTTGATGTCATTGTTGACCGTGAAACCAATCTCCTTACGCGAATCTATCGTCCTGCTGCGGGAGAAGAACGTCCGGTGAACATTCTTGAGCTTGAGAAGCCCGTGAGCTCTGAGGGGGTTCCTGTCATCATATTCTTCCATGGTGGAAGTTTTGCTCATTCTTCAGCCAATAGTGCCATATATGATACGCTGTGTCGTCGACTGGTGGGTATTTGTAAGGCCGTTGTAGTGTCTGTGAACTATAGGCGTGCACCTGAGAATAGGTATCCCTGTGCATATGATGATGGGTGGACAGCTCTTAAGTGGGTTAGTTCTAGATCTTGGCTTCAGAGTAGGAAGGATAAGAAAGTTCATATCTACATGGCTGGGGATAGCTCGGGTGGAAACATTGTGCACCATGTTGCCCTCAAAGCTGTCGAGTCTGGAATTGAAGTGTTTGGGAATATACTACTCAACCCATTGTTCGGCGGGCAAGAAAGAACCGAGTCTGAGAAGCGTTTAGATGGGAGATATTTTGTTAGAGTGAAGGATCGAGACTGGTATTGGAGGGCTTTTCTTCCTGAAGGGGAAGATAGAGACCATCCTGCATGTAACCCCTTTGGGCCAAAGGGGAAAAGCCTTGAAGGGATTATCTTTCCCAAGAGCCTTGTAGTGGTTGCCGGCTTAGACCTTGTTCAGGACTGGCAGTTGGGTTATGCCAAAGGGCTTGAGAAGGCTGGCCAAGAAGTGAAATTGCTATTCCTGGAGCAAGCAACCATTGGGTTTTACTTGCTGCCAAATAACGAGCACTTCTCTCCTGTTATGGACGAGATAAAACATTTTGTCAGCCCTGACTGTTGATAGGCTTAACTTTTGCTATAATACACAAGTGGACGTTAGAAGATTGTGTAGGAAATAGGTATTCTACTACTTAACTATTTATTTTTTTATTTTTTACTTTTTGGGTTCTTTACTGTGGGAGTTTGCTCCCATGATTAGGTATTTGTATGCTACTAAATGTGTCGTGAGATGGGTGTAATCAGCATATAGCTGTGATGTTTTTCCGAAGCACATAATCAGGAAATTGGGTGCTGCGGATAGGTGAAAGGCTTTTAGGAGAAGGGACGCTCTGGCCATGTTTATGGGAACCACTAAAGTTGTGATTACCCACTCTGACTTCCAGCCAAAAAGGAGAGGAAGGCGTGTCATTCTATTTCTGGGCGTGACCTTGATGCCAATCAGTGGGGCTTGTCGTTGTCTGACAAGTGTTATATATAACTAATTTTGGAACTCGGATAGGAAAATATCAATGATATGTTGGTGCTGTTAGGTTATATACATCTATGCTATCTTCATGAGTGTTTGTTTTAAGACTGTTCACTTTTTCTCTATATAGCTAATTTTACATTCCTATGTCTTGAGTTGTACTTGTTTGACCATGGACACACTCCTTGCAAATGTAAATGGATGTCTTTTCCACGCAATGTTAGGGCTTGTATTATGTTTGCTTCTGTATATATAGATATTTTTCAGTTTTTTATATGCATTATGAGTTAAATTTCTGCTTCAATGTGTTTTTGTCTGTGAATTTTCCTTCATTAACTATCATAGGCTAATAACCGGTTCATAATCTTGTAGCATGTTAGATCCACATTAAACTTGAAAATAATTATTTATTAAAACATTTATAAAAGAAATAGGAAAATTGAAGAAATAATTTTGAAAATAAAGTGAATTTTCATGAGGAGTAATTTTGAAGTATTGATGGCAGAAGATACTCTGATTGTCTCTTTTGGAAAAGTAAAGGCCCACAGAAACGTGTTACCACGCTTGTGTTTTCTTTAGGAGTACCCCACAGGCCCGGGGATTTTCCTTTGGTGGCTTTATTATGTACAGAGCAGGCAGCATATAATATCGCCCAAGAGCCACTCGTGCAGGGAGGGATGACAATTAAACCCGTCCGGGAGGACCGACTAGCCTCCATTCCGAGTTTGACGGGAAAATCTGAGTTGATCGGGGCGAGGGTGGGTTCGGGTTTCCCGCTTTAAAAAGTTGGGGCGGGGATGGGTAATGCAATCCCACCCCGATCTCGGTTCCGTCTTCATCCCGACTTTATATTTAAATTTAAATTTTAAAATATTAATATTTTAAAAGTATTTTCTTTTCTTTTTCTATTACATATAAGATCATTTTTTTATATTTTACCAATTTTTATTTTTCTTCTACTTGTTTTTTAATTTTTTTGTTTTTTTTAATCTTTTATATCAATTAATTTATTACATTATTATTTCTTTTATCTTTTAGTTTTTCATATTTCTTTAATCTCTCCTATCAATTTGTTTTTTTTTCAATATTTTCAATCAATTTATTTTTTATTTTCAATCAATTTGATGAACACAAAGTTAATTTTTTTATTCTTTATTTTTTTCTAAATATTTTACATAAATCTTAATAGTAACTAATATTATTTTATTTATAATTTATATTAATTAGGTTCTATTATGTCATTTTTTTATCTTATTATTCTTATTTATCATATATCAAATTTTATCTTAATAAAATAATTATATTTTAAATAATTAAAAGAACTGATAATTTAAACTTTTATTATTTTGAACTAATTGAATAATAATTAACTTATTAAATATTTCTTTATAAATTATATATTTCATATTTTTAAATGACAACTTAAAAATGAATTAACTTTATATATATATATATATATATATATATATATATATATATATATATATATATATATATATATATATATATATATATATATATATATATATATATATATATATATATATATATATATAATCAAATGTTTGAATACGTATTATAATAACAATGTTACAAGTATTTAAATATTTGAATACAGTATTATAATAATAATAATAATGTTATAAATAAAAAATAATTAAATATTTATTTTACATAAATATTTTAATATAAATATAATAAATTAAAATTATATTTAATTAATAATTATTATAAATTATAAATATTTATTTATATATAAAAAATAGATAATAAAATTAATTTATTATAAATATAATTATCTTTTTAAAAATAATATAGATCGGGACGGAATCGAAACCCAGCAGGACCGGGATGAAGATTTAATTTCTAATCCCGACAGGAGCGAGAGCGGAACGGGGATGATTAAAAAAGAGACCCCCTATTGTCATGCCTTTCTGGATCTAATTACTGGTCAGGTCCCATTAATTATGAATTAGACCTGTACAAAAATCTTTAATCAAAACAATAAATCTAAATGTGGAGTAAATCTTTAATCAAAACAATAAATTTAAATGGGGAATCTTTCGAGAAAGGAGGAGAATTTGTTAAACCAATTTGAATATAAATATTTATATATTAAATTCATGAGATAAAAATGTGGATACTGTTTTTTATTTATTAATGCTAATGCTATTTGATATATTATATTATATAAGTCATCAAATAAAAATGATTGGATCGTTTCTTTAATCATTTACATAAATCATTGTATATAGTATTGTAATATAATTATTAGTGCATTATTTATAACAATATATAAAGATTATACAGTTTTTGCTGCATATTATTTTTAAGACATTTTTATCTTTTATTTTGTAACAATGGAAGTTTAATGTAAAAAACAAAAAGTTAATATCCTTTAAATTTTATAAAATTATTAAATTAAAAATAATCATATAGTTTGTTTTTTATCTTTCAAAAGAACGGTAGAGCGGTAAGATATCATTTTCTTTATTTTGTACTTCCCATATCTTTACGTCCAAAATCTACCTTTTCTTTTATATCTCGTCTTTTTTTCACTCAAACATTAATGTCTTTCTACTATTTTTATTTATTTTCTTTGATAACCATCTTTATTCAATAAAATTTAAAGACTATATATAAAACTTGCTGGCTTCTACTTTATATTTTTTACATCAAGATATATTAAAAAAAATGTAAATAAGTTTTGTGAATTGTATTTATTTCTAATTTGCAGATTTTATATAAAAATTGTTGATAAATGATAGGTGATAACATTAGAACAATGATTCTCCACTAAAGTCATTCACTAACCTATAAAATTAGTAACCGTCAATGTTATTTGCTCAATTTTTTACTATATAATTTTATCATTTAAAACATTGTTTTCAAACTATTTACTTATTAAACAAATTTGTAATTTTTTTTTTTTACAAATTTTGCATATAAATTCTTAATTCTTATTTTTGTTAGAGAATTCAAGTGAGTTTGAAGTACGATAAAAATGAAAAAATTTAGTAATTTATAAGTGATAAAAACTCATAACTTATTGTTTTAAGATTTTGGATTGAAAGTAATATCATATTCTCTTATATATTGACTCCGGTCAACTTTATAAAAATCTTTTTGATATTAGTATCTCAAAAATACCTAACACTTCCACTCACGTCAAAGTGATAAATAGAATTTTTATATAAAACGAATCTAAATTTGAATATATAAGAATGTGTGATTCACCTGCTTTCTTTTAAAACACAACTTAATATTACTTAAATTAAGAAATATTTTAAATTAAAAATTATGACTAAAATTTATTAAAATTATTTTTAAATTGGAAATTAAAAAACTTAAGGTATTTTAAATGTTTGAAATTAGAATTTTTATTTATTTTTAATTTGAAATTTTTTTATTTAGATAAATCAATTCAACTTCTTAAATTTTAAATTCTTTATTCATATAGAGTAATTTAATTTATATTATATGAAAAAAACTAAATGTATGTTCAAATATCAAATTTATGAAACAATTTTTTTAATAATTAATATAAAATACTATTCAGTAATTAAAAATAAATGTTAGTATTTTTGTATTAATATTCATGGAGAACACATAGATAGAGAAGAAAAATGAAGGAAAAAAAAAAGAAAGAAAGGAAAGGAGGTAGAAAGATTGAAAAGGAGGAGGGAGAGAGATAAAGTGAAAGGATAGATGTACGTACGAGAGGGACAGAGGGAAAGAAAATAGATGAAACAAAGTGAAAAAAAGGAGAGAATAAGACTATTAGTATTAAAAAAAATGTATTATTAATATTTTTGTCTTGAAACATCTATAAAGTATAAAATACTACACATTAAAATTGGAACAAGTATTATATTGAGTTTATAAACGTGAGGATAAGAACAAATACTAATTCTAATTATCATGATAATAAATTTAGTTATTTTTAAAATTAAAATTCGGATGATATATATTTTAAAAAAATCAAATTTGGATGGCATTTAAATTTGTTAAACATGTTAATGTAAAAAATAAAAAATGAGTAATAAAGGCATGATTTGAAAACTTGAAATTAAGACTACATGGAATTGAGATCAAACTTCAATTCATTATATATATATAAAAAAAAAATTTTTAAGAGGAACAATGGATGACCTCCAAACTTCTTTTATCTTTTCAGTAAAAAAATTGTTTATCTATTTATCTATCTATCTATCTATCTATCTATATATATATATATATATATATATATATATATATTCACTTGTATTTAACCACTGAGATCATATAAATTAGAGAATTAAAAAAAAAATAGGTACTTTTTTTATACACGTCATAAAGTTTTAATCTTTTATTAAGAGCAATCCTATTAATTACAATTCCCAAATAATGTTTTTGAATTTTTAAAAAATATGCAATAAATGAGTATTGAACAGAAATACTTTATAGTTCTTATCATATAGTTTGTTATTTGTTTGATTCGTTTTAGATCTAAAACTATTATCTTCGTAAATAAATAACCTAGTTTGTAACCATTAAACTATTTCGATACATAAATAACCTGTTATGTATTCGATTGTTCTTCAGCAAACACGAAATTACTCCCTAGGTCGAACCTTACCCTCACCCATTCTTAAAGCTTTGGATGTGATTGAATTTAAATAATATCATTGTGAATTCAGATAGAGAAAATTCGAATTCACACTTTAAACAATAAAATGTCGAATATTGGTCTTTGAGTTGGTGGTATTTGATTTTTTCTGTCAATTTTGTAAAATCATTACTACACCGTTGTCTTCTCATTTTCAAATTATATCCAATCAATTCTTAAAATCCTTAAAAAAATATTTTGAAACCTTTTTATCGGTATTTGATTTGATTTTACAAATTCTCCTTCATTATAAATTTTATTTTTATCTTTTATATTTTGTTTGGATTAAAGAGTAATAAAAAAAATAAGATGGTATAAATTAAACGAAAGAAAATAAAAATAGAATAAAGTAAACTAAATTTATTTATTATTAATAATTTAATTTACTATTTTAATATATTTTTAAAATAATTTTTTATTAAAATTATAATAATAAAGAAATAAAAAATTTAAGACAAATATATTTACATGCACAATAATATTTACTTACAATCATGTTCGATAGACTTATATTAGTTAATTTGGAGAAATGTAAACAAAAAGAATAAAAAAAAGTTCAAGTTAAAAGAACGAAAAAGAAAAAGATAAAATAATTACAAATAAAATAGTTAAAATTAAAAAAATAAAAATGTGTTAAAAATAAAATAGAAATATTACTTTTTAATATTTTTTTTCAGTATTTGAATAATTTTTATTTAATTATTTATTATTGTTGTAATTAAAAAAAAAACAAAATAACTTTTGAGATATAATGAATTATGTAAGATAAAATACCCTAAATCCTTATCGTCAAGATATTATTAATAGTGTGATGTCTCTTTATCTTTTTCTTTCTTAACAAAACTTTAGAGACAGTATTTATTGAAAATTGGTGTCAAAATACCTACATTTTCTTCACAAATCATCCTGAATGATTTACACTGATAATCCAATCTTTTATCGCTACTCTTTCAACACAAATATTTTCAGGAATGTAAGCACATATTAAAAACATGTATCAAATTTTTCAAATGCAGAAAAACAAACATAATATTCTTCTTCTTGAATAACTTATACAATAAGGTGAACGTATCCTAAAGAAGACAATAAGATGATTTTCTCTTACAGTGACATGAAAAAAATGTGAGAACAAGAAAATAAAGAAAATATCATGACGCAAAAACTCTTTATTGTATACAGAGAGTCCCATAATTATCACTTCAGAATTGATTGAAAATAAAATAATTGTACTAGAAATATAATTTCTTATTCTTTGCAGTTATATCAAAACACAAGCATACATTACATATAATGAATATTAAAATATAATTTCTCAAACTTCTGCTAGTAACATATGTTTTTAACGCATGTAAAGATATATTTTCTTATTTCTTACTTTTGCTATATCAAAAGACAAGAAAACAAATGTTAACAGGAAACAACATATTGTTCAAAATATATATTAGGCTAAATCAGTTCATATCATAAAAGACATACATCTTGATCATAATACAAAAAGTAAGTTATTAATCTAAGAAGTAAAAAGGATGAAGTTTCAGCGTCCTCTAGCAACATAAGCAGCTAAGGCAGCAGCAAAAATTGTAGTTGCAGAGGATATCACAGTCCATATGTTCTTACTTTTGTGTGCCTCAGCCACAGACTTGTTCAATGAAACAACTTTCTGCTTCATTTCATCCAACATTTCCTCTTTGCTTTTAAATGCCTTTTTTATTTTCTCCACTTCTTCAACACCTACTTCCATTTCTTCCACATTTGACACCACTTCCTCTCCTCTTTCCTTCTGTTGAGATACGAGTGCAGCTGCATTCTTCAACAATGTCAGGGCCCTGTTCGAATTATTGCACCAAACTTCAACCTTAGCACTCAATTCCTTAACCTCCTTTCTCGCCTCCAAAAGCTTACTCTTCAATGCTTCATTTTCATTTCTCAAATCACCCACATGGCCTTCCATCTTCTTTTCATTCTCAACCAGCCTCTCTCTTTCACTTCTCACTTTTACCAAATCAGCATCCCTCTTCACAACCTCTTCCTGCGATTTCGCAATTAGCAGCTCTAACTTCTCCACTTTCTTCTTCTCCTCATAAAACACTTTCTTCATGTTTTCCTTCTCTACTATTTCATCCTCCACAGCAATTCTGTAACTCTTTACTTGTGAAAGCAGCTCCTTGTTTTCCTCTTCAAACTTTTGGTAAGACTCCATCAATTCACTGATTTTTTCTCTCAACTCAACAATTTCACCTTCCAGATTAACCTTCACCTCCTCAATTTCACCCTTAACTCTAACAGCTTCATCAACCTCACGCTGCTTATCTTCCAACTCATTCCGAATCACATTCAAACTCTTCCGAGCACCAGCGATATCCTCATTTAACATCGCAACACTCTTTTCAATCTCCTTCTTCTCAGCGAGCAAGGTACTGATCTCCTTCGCCATCTCCTCCATCTTCTGCGTCGCTACACCAAGCCTCTCGTCCACATGGATAAACTGAACGCGCATGCACTGCTCTTGCTTCTTCCAAGACTCGTTGACGACTGTCAACTCCTCTTCAAGACGACCGATTTTCTGCTCCTGATTCTGGCTCACCTTCACATACTCATTCTTCTCCCTTGTCACCGCTTCAATCTTCTCCTTTAAGATTTCAACAGCGGCAAGTGACTCTCGAGAACTCTTCAGTGCCGAATCTCGCTCCATTTTCAATTCCTCGATGTCTATCTGTTGCTGCGACAACATCTCTTCACTGTCCGACCTAATCTTCTCCATTTCTTCTCGAAGCTTCCCCTCTCTGTCTGCACTCTCCTCGAACAGTTTTCTCTTGTAGGCCAGACTGTCTCTCTCTTTCGCGAGAGCAGTGGTCTCCTTCTGGAGACGCAGAGCAAGGCCACTGAGTTGACATTTGAGAGCGTCAACCTCGCCGTCCTTCTCTCCAAGAAGTGTGTGGAAACAGAGGTTCATCTCCTGGACCTGGCAGTCGACAAAGAGGGAAGTAACGGCGTTTTCTATGTGGAAAGCGGCGAGGTTATCGTCGTAGGTGACGGCGGAACGGTGGAGCTCGGACTGGAGATATTGAATCTGGTGGCGGCATTGAGTAGTCTCTTTGAGAAGGACAGCATTGAGGTTTTTGAGATTCTCAATCTTGTGAGAAGAGGAGTTATCAGTTAGGTTAACCACTGACATTGTTTGAGCTTCCATTTGGGATTGTTTGGGGTCTTGAGATTGTGAAGAATGAGACAATTTCTTTTTGGCCATATTGAAGGGGAGGGTTTATCTAGGGTTTTATTTTGTTATCTTGTTACGGCAGTGGATGCAAAGGTGTGGTGTTAGAGGGGTTATATATAGCGTGGTTTGAAGGAATACCACAGGACGAAGGTAGAGGGATAGATTGGTGTTGTGGTGTGGCTTTTCGAATTCAAATTTTGGGCCCCAACCCACCCCAATCTTTTTCAAATTCCAAACGCTTTTATTCCTTTTTCTCAACAATTAAATATTCAAAAAGATCTCATATTTTCAATGATACATTAAATGGAAAGTGAAGTAATTAAAATGATACATCAGTTAAAAAAATGTATATTGAGATGGAGGAGGTAATATCTTGGTTGGCAATGTGAATCAAATTGTGAGATAAAAAATAAAATAAAATATTTATATTAATTTAATTACTTTTAAAATATTATCTTATTTTATTTTTTATAAAATAACATTTTATGAAAATAATACAATAAATCATATGTTAATTTTTATTTAATAGGGTCCCAATCTACCTAATGTGTAAGTCTATACTTATGTGATATATAAAAATACACTGTGCGTGAATGAATCCATCTTTTCTTATTTTTTTTTTGTCAAGACACGTCAAAATATAAAATGAAATCATTCACGTTAATATTTATAAGTAATATATATATAATACATGAAAAAAAGTATTAATTTTTTTAGTTTGTGTCATGAAGAGTTTTGATTAAAATATTGTGGTACTAATGACGAGTTAAAGATGGAAGTGTTGGGAATTGGAAGGGACTTGAGTGAGTAATAAAGATTGAAGTTGGAGTAAACATGGAATTACCTATTATTTTAAAGTCCTCGATATTCTCAGCACTCATATCCATCATTAAGGTTATTAAATTTAGTAACATCAAACAAAGACGGGAACTTTTACAATTTGTGCAAATCATTTCTACCCAAACTAAAAAAAAAAAATACATGGACTGATCCACATACTAAAAAAATTATTTTTATTTGTTATAACTGTCTTTTTCAAAGTTTAAATAAATATTCATGTTTTTTATACTCATAATATTCTTCGTCAGTTTTTAATTGATTTACGTATTTATCTATCGTGATTTGAAAATAGAAATAAATAAATAATTATTTTATTAAATCTTGAAAGTTATTACATTCCTTTATTTATATAAAAAAACTTAAAACATAGTATAAAAGAAATGAAAAGATTATGATTTTTTTAAACAAAATGAAGTGTAAGATTTTCTTAACTTTAAAAATAAAATATGTATTTTACTTTATTTTTACATCATACTAATTAAATATTAAGTGAGAGTAGATATATAAATGAAAAAAAAATAAAAATCAATGAAAAGTATTACCTATAAAATATTACAAAGTTATAAAATCAAAGTTATCATTAAATTAATGTTTTAAGTGATAATTTAAATGAAACAACATTATGAATATTATGTTTTCATTATTAATAATTATTAAAAAAAGAGAATTATGATTTAACTCAGGTGATGTATAATGAAATTTAACTCAATGAATGTGATATTTATTCAAATAATACTTTATCTACTCTTTTCAAGATATTAGGTTTTGTATTTTTCATTTCTTTTATAATATAATTTCGTTTTCAACCTTCAGTTTAAACTCTTTATACACCTTATCATTTTAACCTTTATACACAACAGGGATTGGAAACATTTTTTGTCTTTCATCTTTTCACAAAAATAGTTTTTTAATCTCTCAACAAAATATGATCATTCTTAATCACTCAACTTAAAAATATATTATAATTGATACAACTTTGGCACCATATATTACTTATATGTTTTTTAAACAATATAAAAATGCTATGATATTATAAATAAATAAAAAATTAAAAGATACTTATATTTAATAGTTTACCTAATAGTAAGTAGACAATTATTTTTAACTAAATATATTTTTCATAAGCATATATAGTTTTTGTAATAATTTTACAAATGTATAATAAATCAAAATATAAATGATGATAATATTAGTTATGAATAAAAATATATACGTTCAAATCTTATATTTAATTCGATTTGGATTTGATTCATATTTTAGGGTAAAAAAAGAAGATAGGAGGAATGAAAATAAAAGAATGAGAGATTAAATAAGGTAAAAAATATAATTACAGAGGAGAGCGGAAGGAGAAATTACAAGTTAATGGAAAATATACATGAAAATCAGTGTTGTCAGATATTTATATAAATATATGATGAAGAAGAGCAAAATATAGATAATATATATATAATAAAGTGAGAAAAAAATAACAATTAAATATATGAGTTTTACTAAATGCAGTGTAGAATGTGTATTTACTGGAGAAGTGTTAAAATGTGGATGATGAGAAAAAGTAGTGTAGTTGAAAAGCATAGTAAGTAACCTGTGTTACTGTGTACAGTTATTTTAGGAGTAATTTGAGAATATTAAGGATAACATTCTGCGTCTCATGTACGATCTTTAAATCCAGCACTGTGTCTAATGTTATTTATTTGCATGTGAGGTTCATTAATCGGAAAGAAAGTGAGAACACAGTGACATCAATAGATAAGGGTTAAGACAAGTCAATGAATTGAAGTCTTGTCTTTTGTGGTTGGTACTTGGTGTTGTTGGTGTTGGTGTTGGCCTTGATATTTTCCTAGCAACAATGGCAAAGACCACCCTTGATTCCGGATGGCTTGCTGCTAGGTCCACTGAGGTTCATTTCACAGGCACTCAACTCACCACCACGCACCCTCCCTCTGCTTCCACCCAACCATGGATGGAAGCTGTTGTCCCTGGAACGTAATCTCCCTCTCTCTCTCTCTCTTTGTGTGTGTGGATGCAATGCATGCACATTGTGCTTTCTTGGTGGAAGTGACTGTTGAATTGATGTGATGTTTAATGATTGACAGTGTTCTGGCAACCTTGGTGAAGAACAAAGTGGTGCCTGATCCTTTTTATGGACTAGGAAATGAGGCAATCTTGGATATTGCTGATTCTGGAAGAGAGTATTACACCTTCTGGTTCTTTACAACCTTTCAGTGTAAGCTGGTAAGGATTATTCTTCTCTCTCTTGTAATGCAATTTTATATTTGATAAGTGATTTGATCTTGGTTTAATTTTGTTGTGGGCTGTTAACTTGGTTGAGCATAATTCAAAATGATGCTTTGGAGTCTGTTGTTTCTGGTTTGATGATTTACAGTCAGGTAATCAGCGCTGTGATCTGAACTTCAGAGGAATCAATTACTCCGCTGATGTTTATTTGAATGGGAACAAGATGGTACTCCCAAAAGGAATGTTTCGGAGACATTTTCTTGATGTCACTAATCTCATTCATTCTGATGGTGGTAACCTGCTTGCGGTTCTTGTTCACCCTCCGGATCATCCTGGGAGCATCCCTCAGGAGGGGGGACAAGGTGGTGATCACGAGGTTTTATAACTTAATCTTGTTGTCCTTCTCCATTATTTAACTTCCTGTTATATAACAGTGTCGTTTATAAATTGTAGTGGTCGATAACTTCTAAAGTTTATTGATTTTAACGAGACTAGGAAAGAGAGTGAATGATGCATGAGGAATATACAAGTCATGTTTTTGTTTGTTCTTTTGTGTAGATAGGAAAGGATGTGGCCACACAATATGTTGAAGGTTGGGATTGGATGGCTCCTATAAGGTGAAATTGTTACTACTTCTGCGATAATTCCTATATTCTGTTCCTTGAATGGGAAACTACCATTTCTTTCCACAAAATGTAGGCACTCTTTATGTTCCACAGTTAAGGATATACGTTACCAATATCATTACTACCAAAGATGGTAATTAGCTTGATTCAAGGTACCTAATTAATATAGAAAAATACTTGCCTAGTTTTTAGGAATTTAGCTTAATATTCTCCTAAAGTTACGGCCATTAACTTAATTTAGGACACCTAATTAATATAGGAAAGATATTTGCCTAGTGTTTAGGAATTTATCTTAATTTTTCTCCTAAAGTTATGTAAATTGTCTTAATGTCTCCTCACTTGCATATATTTATCTCAGGTTTAACAAAACTATGTGCCATCTTATATCAATTCACATTATATCAAAGATATTACTATTATATTAGTGTCAAAGATTATAATTAGCTTAATTTAAAGTTCCTCATTAATATGACAAAATACTTGTCTATTTTCTAGGAATTTAGCTTAATCTTCTCCTGTATTTATGTATATTGTCTATATGTCACTTGTATATATTTATCTCACATTTAATGAAAAGATGTATGATCTTAAATCAATTCACTTGGTGGTATCAAAGATGGTATGATTACAATTACTTGTCCAGTTTAGAGGAATACAGCTTAATCTTTGAGTTGTGTAAATTGATTATGTCTCACTTGCATATATTTATCTCACATCTGATAAAATATGTAAAATGATCAATTCACATTTACTGTGTCATTAAATTGTTTTCACAATAAAGAGGTTTTAGACTGAAAGGGCAAAATTAGGCATCAAACTAGAAGCATAATTTGATAGTGAAATTTCCCTTGGATATGTTGTTTATATTTTCCTTTGATGAATCTATGATGTCCTTCTATGCACCACTGAAAAGGAAAAGAAAGTGAAACAAAATATAGAGCAGTTGGGCATTGCTTGTTGACGGTTGAGTTTTGAAGAGTTTCTGAACTATGAAGAAGCAATATAAAGCAAACTGTATCAATAACTAATGCAAGTGTTAAATATGATTGCAGAGATAGGAATACTGGAATATGGGATGAGGTTTCCATTTCTATTACTGGGGTGAGTTGTATTAATTGCTTTAGATCCTTTAAAAGCTAGCAGTATTTTTTCTCTATGCACTTAAAATTTATCAAAGCCTTTCTTTCGTCTGGTGTACTGTCTTTGTACTAAACCCCAAAGAAAAGGAGTTTTAGCTTTCACATATTCTTCAATTCACGATTAAATACCATTGAACTCATCTAGATCCAACAGTATATGGCAATGATTAGGTACAATTTCAGGAGTCACTGAGATTTTTGGGAAACAAAACTAGAATAATAATACAGAGACATGAGCTAAACTTCAGAGGAATTGCTTTATTAAATTTTCTTTTTATGCATTCTTTTGGAGTCGATTTATAGTTGATTGTACTTCCAGCAGTTCTTTGGTTGGATGATTCCAGTATCTGTGTTTGCTGCAGCCAGTAAAAATAATTGATCCCCACTTGGTGTCATCATTCTTTGACAATTATAAGAGAGTATATCTACATGCTACAACTGAGTTAGAAAACAGGAGCTCCTGGACTGCTGAGTGTTCTTTGAGTATCCATGTGACAACAGAACTCGAGGGGACCATCCACTCAGTAGAGCAGTTTCAAACTCAAAATGTTTCAATTCCTCCAACATCTCGGGTGCAATATACATTTCCTGAGGTCAGTCTTATACAGTTTAATCCAATGTCCTTATGTGCCTATATTTATGGAGTTTGAAAACACATGAAGAACTTAATCATTAATTAATGATATATTTATAGAAAAAATGTGTACTTACAGTAACTTTTCCTTATTTCATATATTGTCTTGGTATATGTATCATTCTTAGTTGGTTTTGGGATTGGATCTTGGGCTGCTTTTGTGCAAACTTGTTTGTATGACTTATAGGCCTATTAGGAGAAAAAAAAATTAGAATTTTCTTTTTCCTTTTGAGTTGAGGAAATTTTCAATCCTGGACTGGTAATCTTTTGTTGCGTCATTTTCTATGACCATGCTATACTCGCATAATTTGGAGTTTAAGCTTTATCTCTTATTTTCAAGGCTAATGGTTTGCTTTTGTAGCTCTTCTTCTACAAGCCCAATTTATGGTGGCCAAATGGAATGGGGAAACAATCTTTGTACAACGTTATTATTAACGTTGATGTTAAAGGATATAGTGAGTCTGATTCATGGAGCCATCACTTTGGATTCCGCAAGATTGAAAGCCATATTGATGATGCTACTGGTGGAAGGTATTATGGTATTCCTTCAATGTTACAGTATTTTTATTTTTCCTTAGTAAGCTTAATTCACACTTTTAACTTCTTTTTGTATATGTTTTGCTGCATGTTTTCATAGATTGTTCAAAGTCAACGGAGAACCAATTTTTATACGAGGGGGGAATTGGATATTGTCTGATGGGCTACTGCGACTTTCAAAGAAGCGATACGAAACAGATATCAAGTTTCATGCAGATATGAATTTTAATATGATTCGTTGCTGGGGCGGTGGCCTCACTGAAAGGCCAGAGTTTTATCATTACTGTGATTATTATGGACTTCTGGTAAGACATACTAGACCCTCATTGTTGTTTATATTTGCTGCTTAATATTCTGCTATAATTTTTTCGCGTCTACTGCTTTGCTTTGTGCCAGTTTATTTGTTTTCCTTTCCATTTGAGTATTTGTGTATTGATGTAACAGTTTGTATTAGCTGACTGTATCATCATAATTAAAGCAGGTTGGATTTATGTGATCAGATTATTACAATATTGGATAATAGTTAATGTTGCTGGTAAATCTTGTAGGTATGGCAAGAATTCTGGATTACCGGGGATGTGGATGGACGTGGTATCCCTGTATCAAATCCAAATGGTCCCCTGGACCATGATCTTTTCTTGTTTTGCGCAAGAGACACGGTCAAGCTTCTTAGAAATCATCCTAGTCTTGCTCTCTGGGTGGGTGGAAATGAACAAACTCCACCAGATGATATAAATACAGCCCTGAAAAATGATCTGAAACTTCATCCTTATTTCGGACATGCAGAAGAAAAAGAAAAACCTGTCGCTGGCTTGTCCCATAGGTTGGGGGATCCTAGCCAATATCTTGATGGTACAAGAATTTACATACAAGGATCATTATGGGATGGGTTTGCAGATGGGGAAGGGAACTTCACTGATGGACCTTATGAGATTCAAAATCCAGAAGATTTTTTTAAGGATGACTTTTACAAGTATGGATTCAACCCTGAGGTTGGTTCTGTAGGAATGCCAGTTGCTGCAACCATAAGAGCAACAATGCCTTCAGAAGGATGGCAAATACCACTGTTTAATAAACTTTCCAGTGGTTATGTTGAAGAAGTTCCAAATCCCATTTGGAAATACCATAAATACATTCCATATGCAAACCCAACCAAGAAGGTTAATGATCAAATTGAGTTGTATGGTAATGTGAATGACCTTGATGATTTTTGTTTGAAGGTAAGAAATCTTTATCCAAGTGGGTCAATCATGATACATTGTCAATCTTCCTATCTTTGTTGTTCTGTTGTTAACTTTATTTTTTATACCAAAATCTTCTCAGGCTCAACTAGTTAACTACATACAATATAGAGCTCTTCTGGAGGGATGGACGTCTCACATGTGGAAAAAATTTACAGGAGTCTTGATTTGGAAGACACAAAATCCTTGGACTGGTCTGAGAGGTCAATTTTATGATCATCTTCTTGACCAAACAGCAGGATTCTTTGGTTGTCGATGCGCTGCAGAGCCAATTCATGTACAGCTTAATCTGGCTACATATTTTATAGAGGTACGCATCGAAATTGAACTTCAATTTTAATGAACTGGAAATAAAAATAGAAATATCCTTTGAGGGAATGAGAAATACTTTTGTGGCCATTTGAAATAAAAATTGAGTTTGGAAACCAAAAATAGCAAGTTAAAGAGATTACAATAGTACTGAACCGGTAAGACTTGGAATTGGAATGATCACAATTTCCTCTGCAAATTAATGATAATATGATGAATAGTTTCTTACGTTTTAATTTTTTTTTTTAAACAGGTAGTGAATACTACATCAGAAGAATTGTCTAACATAGCTGTAGAAGTTTCAGTGTGGGACCTAGAAGGCACATGTCCACACTCCAAAGTTCAAGAAAATCTCACTGCACTGCCAAAAAATGTAACACCTATTGTTGAGATGGAATATCCAAAGACAAAAAATCCCAAGCCAGTCTACTTTCTTATTCTCAAACTCTACAACATGTCAGATAATAGTATTTTATCTAGAAACTTTTATTGGTTGCATCTTCCTGGTGGAGATTATAAACTACTAGAGCCGTATAGGGAGAAGAAAATACCCCTCAAGATAACATCCGAGGTTTTTATTCAAGGATCTACCTACAAACTTCAAATGCATGTGCAAAACACATCTAAAAACTCAGACTCACTGGAAACCGTAGATAGTGTGATTGGCAAAGAGCAAGAAGTTGGTTGGTTTAGGAGGATACACAAATGCTTTGCAGGGAAAAGTGCTGGTGTGAAGGTTTCTGAAATTAATGGCCAAGATATAGGTGTTGCATTCTTTCTTTATTTTTCTGTTCATGCTTCGAATAAGGACCACAAGGAGGGGGAAGACACAAGAATTCTCCCCGTTCATTACTCAGATAACTATTTTTCACTTGTGCCAGGAGAGACCATGACTATTAAAATTTCTTTTGAGGTCCCTCCAGGTGTCTCTCCTCTAGTTACTTTGCATGGCTGGAATTTCAACCAACAAGCCATCCATGAAGGTCTTTAGTGATGTTACAGGCAACCTAGTAAACTGATCAATTCTGTGAACATCATATGATCAGCTTGAATTTCATGAGTTTATTACTTTTCTTCCTTCAACCTGCGGAAGTTAGTACCTCATGTTGCTAAGACCAATATTTCTAGTGCTTTGTTTTCTAAACTCTGCAATAAAAAACAGAGGTGAAATAGTCTCAATGATCATAATTTTTTTAAAGCGAAGGCTCCTGGGAATGGAGTGAAGGTTATGCCTCGATCATTTTTCGGGTTGTAATTAGATAATGTTCAATTTCATCTCAGATTGCAGTCTCTTATTCTTCTAGCCATGTCTTAAAGAATTTGGCAAAACAAAAACATTTATTCTATACAGAGTAGGGATAAAACACTTGAAGTGGTCTGGCACAAATTGAAATGCATCATAATGTGTAAATGTGAATTATTATATGATAATGAAGAGAACAAGTATGAAAGATCATCATCAATCATCATATAGACTTAATCATCCGGCTAATTGAAGAGAATATGCCTGCCGCTTTGTCTAGAAAACCTTGCCCTTGCTCTGACTTCTGTTCTTCATCAGCAAATAGAATCTGCACCATGAATTAAAGCTTACCCAAGAGATTATTATGTTGTCATATTGATTTTCACTATGGATAATTATTCAAACAAATTTCCCGTCTTTCTTTTCTATAACGATATTTTTCATTCTATTCAATTTTTTTTTTTTTTTTAAATTCACCAACAAGAATAATAGGTATTTTAACCATGTCCACAGAAAATGGTTGGATCAGGTAGTTTAGAATTGAAGCTGTTAACCTCAATGTCGTCAGCATCAGGACGGCTCTCGAATTCCTTGGCAAGCAAATATCTATTCGGCCTATCCTTGTCATCACTGAACACTTTCCACTGTCTGAGTAGATCAACAGACAGGAAGCAAACAAAATTCATAAATAATTTCAGCTTTGCGATTAACATTTCCAGAAGCCGATTAACAGTGTATGATTGATTTCATCAATTTTATCTCCATGGAAACAGGATACAAAAATATTGAATCATGTTCAGATTACATATCTAGAAATCAGGTGAACCAGAAATCCACTTCCAAACCCAAAAGTTATGTTTTTTATGATATTTTTATACTAATAACCTTATAGGATGGAATGAAAGACCTTACCCTGGATAACACCTGAAGATTGCTCCAAATGGCATAGGTCGCATGAAATAGACAGTTGTAAAAGTGCTGTACAATAGAATATCAGAATTTAATAGTCTAGTGTGATCAGAATAAACCAATTTTACAAACAAACTGCATTAAGAATGAAAAGAACTCAAGTAACTTAATACAGATAATAGCAGAAAAAACCAAGCACACAAAAATCCAACCCCAGTTTATGTAAATACCACTTACAGTCAGTTGAAGCTTAAGTAGTAAACCATGCAATGGCTCAGCACTCGTACCTTAGAAAGAAGCGCCTTAATTTCCGGACATTAAACCCAACTCCGACGTCCTCACTGATCAGGCGAGGATTCCACATGATGAGCGGTCTAGGCTGCCATTTTATGTATAGTTTGAAAGAAAAGTGTAAATAATACAAACAAATTTCTAAACTAAATGCAAGGTGCCGAAATGGCAGTGATGTGGCTATCTATCTCACAGTTTATGACAGCTTTCTAGAAAGACAAATATAAGAAGTACTGTTAGTTCTAAACCCCTTGTCTTATAATCGGCCTTCAGATACATACTTCTTTCCCTCTTGATGATGAAAGTTTATCACATTTTTCAGTTGATGGATTTTTTAAAAGATCGCAAAAGTCAAGGGATTTACTGGATCATTTGAGAGATTGGATGCAATTCTCTCTACATATTCTAACATCTGATAATCTGGAACAATCATAACCACAATCTCATCATCACCTTCCACGGGCTTCCGGTCACTCAAGCTGGATAAATAGCAAAAGAACTGAAATGTTATGGACGGAATTGCAACAGCATAGCCATTAAGTACTTTAATATCTAAGTACAATGCAAAAGTCAAAATCAAATATATGATAGTACACCCCACGACTATTTTTCTGGCAGAATAAAACATAAAGCATTAATCTAAGTGCTGAAAGTTACCTTGCAAATCTAAATATAGCATCTTTCCACCTATACTTCAGAAGGGCTGCCGCACCAGCATCTGGAAATATGGCTTTAACCCTCTAACAATCAAATTCATGAAACTTAGCAACTAGTTTACAACTTCCAAAATAAATAATACTCATGCCATAAAACCTTAGCGAATTCAGCATGAGCATCTAGTTTGTGGATACTTATATCATGTGGAGAAAAGTCGGTAATCATTGCACAACCATCCCTTTTGTGCATCCTAGTGTCAAATAAATTTAGGAGGCTGTTAGTATTTTCATTTAAAATATGCAAATTCTATATTTTACCTCCGGATAACCAAGACCTAAACAATTAATAATACCTAATATAGTGACATCCTAGCTGTCTCCTGAGTTATAAAAGGAAACCATGCACTTGGTTTGAGTGGAAATAGGACGCTATAGATGGCTAAATATTTGTGTGCATCCAATAGTAGAGACACCACAAGAGTCTCTAATGTACATTCCACGCAGAAGAAACCAATTCTATTGAAATGAAATGAACATAACAACACATGCAATCACATTATGAAGAATATATGTAAATGTCTAAGATAGGTCTTAAACTTTGAGTTTGAACTCAACTCAATCCAGTAAAACGATTTTTTTAAACGTTTGCAACTACTTGAATACTTTGTTTTAGCCATATCACACTGCAAATAAGGTGACTGACGGAATAGGAATTAGTTCAAATTCAAATATTCCTTCAAAAAATTCATGTGCTATAAGTTTATAACCACCATAATACACACTAACCTGGGATTTTGTTTTTTCAATGAGTGTATCCAAAAAAATTCTTGACAATTCCCAGAGTTCAACCTGCGCACCTTCGTCATCTAAAAATTGCAATTGGGGGATTAAAAGTTCAACCTGTAAGACAGTGAAAATATTTTAGAACAAGATGCATTTGACGCCAAGCAACTGAAAGAACCATTATTAACATTGACTAACAAACCAATCCCTCTCATAGCAACATTTTCAAGTTGCATCGGCTTAAACATTTAGTCACATCAGATGCAAAATAAGGGAAAAAATATTTTTGCTCTTACTTATGCTCACCTTAACATGCTAAATTTATGAAGTTATTGATCTTAACCACGTGAAGATGACTAAGCTCTTTAGAAGGATTGCATGCCAAAGAAGAAGCTCAACACAACATATTTCAGTAAAAAAAACCCGATCCTCCAAAACAATAAAAGAAATATATTTTCAATTTGGAGCTGTTCGACTTAAACGCAGTGTGGAACTTGGAAGAAATGACAATTTTGTGTGAAATAAAGAAAGGAAGAAAAATAAATTTTGGTACATACTGTGGCTCTCATCCCTCCTGAAGATACAAATATGGCCGTGGCCTCACTAGATTGCCTCACTGCCCCATCCAAGTCTGAAGGCAAGCAACTGAAACAGAAAGCAAAAATGTGAACAACTTTTTTCTACCCATTGGAATGTATATCTAACTTTATCAATATACCTTTTTCCTATTCCCATATGACTTCAAAATATGGTGTGACTCAAAATTGAGGACACACTCAAATGGCATAAGCATGAGAGACGTGATGTTTGAGTTTCCAGAACAAAACAAAACATCCTACACAAAGATAAGAGTCCTATGTATGAAATAAATTAACAGTATCCATCCTCTGTTGTCTGAGACTTACAAAAAAAACATAAATTGGGACAAAAATAAAATAATCTACGAAGTCCAAATTGTAGGTAGTAATAATACCTGTCATCTTCCTCATCATCCTTAACAGAAGTTTCGGTATTTTCTTCTAATGTGGATTGTGGATCGGGCTCCGGGGATTGGGTTGGGAACTTCTCAAACTTGGCAAAAACTCTGAAAGTGGAGGTTGAAGAGTGAAGAGAAAGGCCATTGTAGGCGCAAAGTAGAGGGTGTGAGAAAGATAAGGAAAAAGGGGTGGCTGAGGTTGGAAGGGGTATTGAAGGATGGTAATTACAGTGGAAGTTGCAGGCTATGATTGAAGAAGCCATTTATATGTTACTTGTTAAGTGTTAATCTGTTCATCGCCCAAAGGCCGTGGATAATTGATGAATAGTGCAAATTGTATATAATCAACCACTGTTGCAGCTTTGCTCCATGGCTCAGAAATTAAAAGAAAGGGCTAAGCAGAAGAAGGAAGATATAGAATCTGTTAAGAAATGGAGGAAGCAGAGGCAACAAAGTGGATTTGCTGACACTGGCAATGATGCAGATGCGGCTTTTGACTTTGAGGATGGAAAAGTATTTCAGAGGTCAAATAAGAAAAGACCAGGAGTGGCTCCAGGGGATAGGTCAGGAGGGAAGGCAAGGCAGGCGATTGGTGAAGGAAAGAAACAAAAGAAAAGAGATATTAAGAATTCCAAATTTAGTTTTAGAGGCAAGAAGGGGTTGAAAAAGCAGAATACTGCTGACACCACCAATGACTACAGTAAATTCAAGAAGCGTGCTGTCTCCGACAACTAGAAGAGAAAGAGGTAAACACAATCTTTTTTGTTGTACGTCTTGAAGGAGCCAATGACATGGGAATTTCATCTACTTTTTTAATTTTACATTTTGGATGTATTTGTTAACTTATCAGCTTTATGGACATTAGATTCTTAAATATCTACTTCAATTTTGACTATTTACTAAGTGATTAGTTGTTTTATGTTGTAGTTATTGAGTAAAGCAATTTAATGTTGACATATTTGGTGTACTGCATTGTTTATTTATTTTCATATAATCGTTGCTGTGATGCCAGAAACCGAGGTAATCCTACCATATGGATTCCATGGCTATTAACTTGAAAATTTATCATGCATATTAGTATAATTTTTTGTTTTTTCTGTCAACTATTATATATTTTTTAATTTTTATACGTAAAATTATATATCTTTTTTAAATTTTTTAGATTTAGTTTGAATTTTAAAAATAGAAATTTGTCTCTTCCATCTGTAAAAGAAAAAAGAAAGTAAAAAAAAAGAATAATGACATAAAATGTATTCCAAGTAAAAAAATAAAAATAAAAATAAATAGAAGTTGAATCAAAATTAACCAAACAATATAATATCGATTGAACAAGGAAACGTGATATTAATTATTAGTTGTCAATAAAAACAACACTATAAAATTTTTATTTCAAAGTAACGTTTTCATGACGAAGAACTTTGAGGACTTCAGGAAAAGTTTAATTTATTTTCCAATAAGATTAACTAAATCGTGATAGTAAAAAAAGTCATTTAGTTTGATTTCTATTCTTATTCGTATTTTTATATAAATTGTTTAGTTACTTTTTATTGTTATAGCGATATATTAATTTTAGCTTTTAATTTTTAATAATATTTTTCACTCAATTTTGTAAGTTATGTTTGTATGGGTAGAATCAAAATTTTATTATTTTATAGAGAAGTAAGTTATGTTCATTGTAAACTTCTAAATAGAGAATAACACAAAAAATCCTACAAAATTGAAAAAAGATGGAAGCAATTTTGTTGTAAAAATGAATTGAAGGAAGGTCATGAAGTGATATTTCAAGCTAACATCAATCCAAACTATATAGTCAATGTTGGTTTTGAATATGATAATATGACTTATGTAATATGTATTCTCTTTGTGATATAGTTAAGTTAATATTTTAAGATTTTCTTTTGTAATATGTTTGTCATGACCTTTTGATACATAATTGTTTCTTGTGTTTTGAATCTTAAATGTTAAATTTCCTATTTCTGCACAAAATAAATATATATTCTCTCATTCTAATATATGTCATCTTCTCGTTATGACTAGATGATGTCATATTATATACAATAAATTATTGTCATAATTGCTACTATATTAGATAGAAATGTTTTTAGCTAAATTTTTCCTTGAACATGTCAAAACAAACAAAATAGAAAAACATTGCCAAATTAGGGTAGGTGACATTCCTGGAAAATTATGAAGCTCGCTGCAACAATTTTGTATACATATCAACTAAAGAAAAGTTACACATTGAGTGACTAGAAAAAGAAAAAAAATATATACCTGTTATAGATGAATATAAATATTGTTTATAGATATTTTATCAACCATCTACAACACAACAATTTTAGTACCAAACCCCTAGGTTATCTATTTTAATGTTCAATTATCTTTTCATTTTGCTATTTTTCACAAAATTTAGTCAAATGCTTTAGAGACATACTGTCAACAATAGAATGGCTGGAAAAGACAAAAATTACTGTATCTACTGTAGTAGATGCATAAAGAAGACTCATTATGCCTTATGAGAAACTCATGTTCAGAAAGAGTTAGCTTAGTTGTGAATCATAGATTGCAGTGCAATGTTCAAGGTTAGCTTTGCTTTTTACCTTCTCTCAAGTATCACATAAATCATCTGTTAGGAAATACAAGTGTGATTCTAAGTCCCACATTGGATAAAAATGAGAATGTTGAACAACATATAAGGAAGTATGACCCATAACCTAATGCATTAAGGTTTTGGGTTGCGAGTGGTGTCAATCCCTTCTATGGGTTGAACTCATTTCTCATTGATGTTGTTCTCTCCAGTGAATCTCCCTTGAAAGACCCAACAACTGGTATCAAGAGCTTAGGTTTTTTCATGCGAGTGGGAGCAAATTCGATGAAGTGCAAGCCCTATTATTATTATCTTTGTTGTCTGATAGTTGGTTAGGAACTGTCACAGCAGTAACCAGTACATCTGGGACTATGCAATTAACCTTTGAAGGAATTAGGGATTTAATCCTTAATGAGGATGTTCGTAGAAGGAATGTTGAAGAATCAACAAATTCCTTATTAAGCACCGAAGGTAGAGGTAGAAAGCTTGAAAGAGGGCAAGGTTCTGGACGTGGTAGATCAAAGTTTAAGGAGCAAAGACGATCCAAATCCCGCAAAGATATTACTTGTTGGAATTGTCAACAAAACACTCACTTTAGGAATCAGTGTACTGCTCCTACCTAAAGAAAAGAGACATGACAATACAATGAATGCAGCAGAAGTATACGGTGATGATGCGTTGATCTTTTGTGTTGAAAGCAATTTTGAATCTTGGATCATGGATTTTGGTACATCTTTTCATGTTTCTTCTTGCAAGGACTTGATGAAAAATTTTAGAAGTGGAAGTTTTGGCAAAGTACATCTAGCAGATAATGAAGCTTTAGTTAGACATTGCAGACATGAGAGATATAAATCTTAAAACATCCACGGGTATAGTATGGACTCTGAAGGATGTCAGATATATTCCAAGACTCAAGAGAATGTTAATCTCTGTGGGTATGTTGGATGTTCAAGGATATCGAGTCATATTTGGAGAATGTCAATGGAAGGTGGTGAGTGGTAATCTAATTGTTGCTTGTGGTTGGAAGAAAAAAAACCCTATACATGATAGAATTACCTTCTGAAGAAGTAAATTCAATTAGTAATGATGTTGGTGATGATTTTGGTCATTCTTCAACTTTATGGCACCAAAGGCTTGGTCACATGAGTGAGAATGGTATGAAGATACTAGTCTCAAAGGGAAATATTCCAAAACTGGAAAAGGTAGAAGTTGGTTTCTGTGAATCATGTGTATTTGGGAAGTAGAAAAAAGTTACCTTTGCAAAGTCAGGAAGGATGCCTAAGGTAGAGAAGTTGGAACTTGTTCACTCAGATGTGTATGAGCCAACATCAGTCTCACCATTGGGAGGATCATGATACTATGTCACCTTCATTGATGATTCCACTAAAAAGGTATGAGTTTATTTTTTGAAGCAAAAATCAGAAGTATTTAATACCTTTAAGAAGTGTAAAACCATTGTTGAGAATGAGACAAAGTTAAAAATTAAATGTTTAAAGTCTGATAATGGTGGTAAATACAGTAGTACTAAATTTGTTGATTACTATGTTGAGAATGAAATTATAATGCTTAAAACTATTCTTGAGATATCTCAACAAAATGTTATTGCTGAAAGAATGAACAAGACCCTCAATGAGAGGGCAAAAAGTATGAGAATTCATGTAGGATTACTGAAGACATTCTGGGCAGAAATAGTGAGTACAATAACATACCTCATTAATCGAGGACCTTCAGTTCCCATAGAATTTAAGATTCTTGAGGAAAAATGACAAGGCAAGGATGTAAGTCTTTCTCATTTGAAAGTATTTGGTTGTGCTTCTTATGTTCGTGTTAAAGATATTAACAAGGACAAGCTTGATCCGAAAGCAAGAAAGTGCATTTTTATTGGCTATGAAGCAGATGATATGTGATATCGCTTCTAGGATGATCAGAACAAAAGGATCATTAGAAGCAGAAATGTTATATTTAATGAAAATACAATGTATAAGGATAAACTTGAGACAAAAGTTGAAGTTGGAAAGAAGCCAACAAAGAAGGAAAATGTAGTGTTAGAGGACATTACAGAAGACGATCTATCAAGAAAAGGTGGGAGCTTAGGAGTAGGTGGGGGCTTAGGAGACAGGACTATTGAGGATACTACTCCTGTCACCCAGGAGTTGAAGTGAAGAGATCCAATAGAGTTATTAGGCTTCCTCATAGGTTTTCTCCTTCAACAAATTACTTGTTGTTGACTGACGATGGAGAACCTTTATGTTATGATGAGGCATTGCAGATGTATGATGCAGCTCAATGGGGGTTAGCCATGCAAGAGGAGATGAACTCACTTGAGAAAAATAAAATTTGGTGTTTGACTGACCTACCAACAAGAAAGAGGGCATTGCAAAACAAGTGGGTCTTCAGGATCAAGGAAGAACATGATGGCAACAAGAGATACAAGACAAGGTTAATGGTGAAAGGCTTTCAGAAAAAAAAGGTATTCACTATAATGAGATTTTGCCTCCTATAGTTAAAATGACTACCATTAGACTTGTGTTGAGTATTGTGGCTGCAGAGAATTTACATCTAGAGCAGTTAGATGTTAAGACAACATTCTTACATGGTGACCTTGATGAGGACATCTACATGATGCAACCAGAGGGTTTTCAAGTTGTAGGGAAAGAGAACTTGGTTTGCAAGTTGACCAAAAGTTTGTATAGGTTGAAGCAAACACCTAGACAATGATACTTAAAGTTTGATGGTTTTATGAGTAGGATAGAGTACAAGAAGTGTGTTATAGATCGGTGTTGTTATATGAAAATTTTTGGTTCATCCTATATCATATTACTACTGTATGTTGATGACATGTTAGTTATAGTTTCTAACATGAATGAAATTAATAGATTGAAGACACAGTTGTCTGAAGAGTTTGAAATGAAAGATTTGGGTATTGCAAAACAGATTTTGGGCATGAATACTAGCAGGAACAAATTTGAATGTTCCTAATATTATCTCAAGAGAAGTTTATTGGAAAAGTGTTAGAGAAATTCAATATGCAGGATGCCAAAATCGTAAGTACACCTTTGGGAGTTCATTTTAATCTCACTCAAGAGGAGTCACCTAAGGCAGATGAAGACAAGACAACAATGACTAAAGTTCCTTATGCATCTGCAGT